TTATTAATTTTTATTACCCTAATATTTATTTTTTCTAAAAAGAATTTTAGAACTCATGACAGTTTAGGTCAGCCATATATTGATATATTTTTATCCTTTAAGTATCTTATTGATAATGAACATATCTTTGAGGCCCGAGATTGATCAAATTTCATTTCCAATTCATTTCCATATAAGTTAATAAACTACAAAGAAATATATCATTCCATTTAAAGGTAATATGTATATTTGGAAGCAGCAGTGAGTCCATGTAATTTTCGACGCAATTTTCACTATGAGCCATCCGAAAATAGCATCTCTGCGTACATCCGACCCCTTACCCCACTGTAGGTGGGAGCCTTTGCGACAATGTGATAATGATAATGATGATTGGAATTCATTCCATATTTTTGAATCTGTATCGAATTGGTTTTAGAAAACTATGCATAATTTGTAAATGTAAGGTAAGAGAAGATGATATTAGAGTAGAAAATGATGTTTTTTAGACAAAAGAATCATGAGCTATTTTTTAGGGTATAGTATAATCATAACATAATTATAGTTGAAAGCACATATCCTACGTAATCGAAACAATCTAAAACATACACAATGTGTATATGGCTCTGTAAATCATAATATTAAGTTTTCATATTAAGAGAACGGCAAAACTTTCATTTGTTATTTTGAAATACTTTATATACTTTGTTAAACTAAAATATGTATATTTGAAAAACTTTGTATAGTTCATATTCCTTTCACCTTATATGCTAATACCATATGTCATGTTCATGCGATGCACGGACGATCAATAATATGTGATCGAGAACCATTTATTTAATTCTAATATACTACGTATAACTTTTCTTGGCAAGATTAGTTTAGTAATTTGATTTCATATTTGTAGTGTTATTCATATGCACAATATATTACGACCAAAGTAGGACATGTGATTACTGTAAAAATTAACATGTAAAATCAATATATATATATATATATATATATATTGATTTTTTATCATTTTATTCCAATAAATGGAATCACAAGAACACGTTGAGGTCTAAAATTTTGTAGAAAATGCACAGTGTAAGTAATTATTCGTGGTCATATATTAAATAAACTGCATCCATGTCTTCTACTATTAAAACTAATTTCAACTCATCATTTGATACCGTATTCCCATAAATATTGTCGCACTACCTACAATATCCATGAAGTGTGTTGGTCTTATGGGAGATCAGCACCACCCTTTGATTCAGGGCTTAACCGCCCAACCTGTTGGCACCACAAAGTGGTGCAGCCCCTCATGTCCATCCACCGCTCAGTAGTGGGGCTCTGCACTGCCGTAGTGAACTGTGGGAGGTGCCCCACAGGAATCTACCTTGACTTGGGGACTACAGAGTAATGGGTTAAATAGAGGGTGTCCACTTCCTTATCACCAATTGGTTTTAAGAAAGATATGGCTGCTATTTAACCACAGAACTCTGGAGTTAAGCGAGCCCGGGGTAAGAAAGCCCAAGGATGGGTGACCCACTGGGAAGTTTGTCGACAGGGGTGAATCGATCCAACAAGTGGTATCAGAGCGAGGTCACAGGTGAATCTCTCGGCTGGTGCTGGGGGGGTGATTGTTGGTCTTATGGGAGATCAGCACCACCCTTTGATTCAGGGCTTAACCGCCCAACCTGTTGGCACCACAAAGTGGTGCAGCCCCTCATGTCCATCCACCGCTCAGTAGTGGGGCTCTGCACTGCCGTAGTGAACTGTGGGGGGTGCCCCACAGGAATCTACCTTGACTTGGGGACTACAGAGTAATGGGTTAAATAGAGGGTGTCCACTTCCTTATCACCAATTGGTTTTAAGAAAGATATGGCTGCTATTTAACCACAGAACTCTGGAGTTAAGCGAGCCCGGGGTAAGAAAGCCCAAGGATGGGTGACCCACTGGGAAGTTTGTCGACAGGGGTGAATCGATCCAACAAAGTGCGAAGGCAAAATTGTTGCATGTCGCGTCTTTGATTATATGGGATGAAGTTATGCTGATACACGAGGCCTGTTCTAATACTTTATACGTTACACCAATCAATTTCTGGAGTAAGTTCATGCTATCGTTGATTGATGGTCTAGGAGTCACATTTCTTAGTTATAATGTCGATTATCTTAATAGCGCTTCAATGGTTGGATTGCCCAACTATGTCCTTCATTTGAAAATCGGAGCCCCTGCTAATGTTGTTGATGAATATTAATCATGCATAAGTTTTATTCAACATAACGTGATTGGTCATAACCAGATTGGAAAAACAAGTATAACAAGTCATGATTCAAAAAGTTATGAAAGATAAAATTTACATGTTGAAAATCTCATTGTCACATATACGTAGTATACGACAATTTTATTCAATTTCCGAATAAAGCAATTTCTTGTGATGGTAAGTTTTGCAATGACAATCAATAAAAGTCAAGGCTAAATGTCATCACATAAAATTTGATTTATACCTTGAGAGAGAATTTTCATTAATGACCAATTGTACATTGCAATACCAAGAGTAATGAGTAAAAATATCTTTTGATATTCATATGTTCAAAAGAAGCAAATGTCATCACCAAAACGGTGAATGTCGTTTATAAAGAGGTTTCCCAATTTAAAACTAACAATGTGATGTTTGGTATGTGAGGTGTTACATTACGATGTCACTTTTTAATATATTATCTTTAATTAAGTTACTATTCATGATCAACAAAAGTTTGTTTGAAGTAAAATGATTAAATATTTATATATTCTATAAAATATATATCTTACACAATATTCAAACATTCACAACCTCTGCTCGGGGCAACGCCCGGGTAAAACACTAGTATTTATATATTCCTTTTAGTTTTTACAGAATAGATTTCAAATATAATTGAAATATTTGAATTATTGGTTTACCAATACAAACGTGTATACGGGTGGGATACAAATTTAGCGTCTATGTTTTGCTTTACCAGCAAGTGTTTGACGAAGGAGAATCGTCGATCAAGAATTCAAATGTCAAAGATTTTAGGATTCATTGTTCACCAATCTCAAGGCCGTGTTTCTTACCATCTGACCATCTGTTGCCGCAAGACACTCTATCATACAATAGTAAGAGTCCCGTTTTGTCCAGCCGGCCTGACGGGAACCACCGTTTGGCCGAGGGCATTTCGGGCACTTCCCTATCGAATTTTTTGATGAATTTTTTTGAGCATTTTTTTCATCAAGTCTAGTTTATCTATACCAAATTTCAGCTCAAAATTCGATCGGAAAGGCATTCAAATAATTTTTTGAAGTTGACTGCGTCAAAATATACATATAAAAACGCAGTCAACTTCAAAAAATGATTTGAATTCCTTCCCGATCGAATTTTGAGCTGAAATTTGGTATGGATAAACTAGACTCGATGAAGAACATGCTCAAAAAAATTCATCAAAAAATTCGATCGGGAAGTGCCCGAAATGCCCTCAGCCGGACGGCGGTTCCCGTCAGGCCGGCTGGACATGAAGTTTTCTCACGATAGTAGATCTGAATTTGTGGGATACTCTCTTTTTTTACAAATTTGTCCAAAACTAGACAATTTGATATTTACCCAACTCGGCTCCAGATCGAAAAAATACTACTTCCGCCTAGGGGTGGGCAAACAGGTCTTGGAATTGCAGTCCGGCCCGGGTAATGACGGTTTGGGTCCAAAACGGGCCGGTTCCATTTTTTGTTGCCAGAAAATAGTCCGGGTAGGGCCGGGTAATTTTTTTTAAAGAACCGGGCCAGTTTCAAATTAACAAAAGCCGGGTACCCCGCCCGTTATATATATTGTAAATTAATTTATTAATAATTTTGTGATAATCAGTTTTGATATAGTTTTGTTTCTCTTTGCTAGAAGTAGAATTTTAAATTGAGTTGCAGTAACATCCTTTTGTTTTCAAATTAGTGCTTACATTCTACATTAATTTCTTATCACAATTTATTGTTATTGAATTATTCTTTTCTATGGAATTTAACTATTTCTTAAAAATGATATGATTTTGTAATATTTTTTTATAATATTGTTCTTAAAATTTCTTCAATAAACATATTGTTCTTAAAATATATATATTGCGCTACCCCCCCCCCCCCCCCCCCCCCCCCCCCGGTGTGTGTCAACTTTGGCTAATAATGAAAATTTAATAAAAAAATCACCTAAAATATGTTATGTTAGACAACATGTTTAAATTCAAATGTTGGAATTTCTTTAATTGTTTGAGACCTGGATACAAGAAGTTATGAAGTATTTTACTTGTCACTTGTGTTACATATGTCACTATGTTGTTATTTTGAAACCTGCCAATGTATTATATTATTGATTATGATTATTGATTTTTGGAACTTCGTGAGGTTTTACTACTTTAATGACATGGGAATAGAAACCGTAAAACCCGGATCGGACCGACCCGTTTCAAACGGGTCGGGTCAGGTCCGGTTCCTATTTTGAAAATTGCAATACCCGGACCAGACCGGACCGTACAATGGAACCGGCGGTTCCATTTTATTTTGCATTACCCGACCCGTGCCCAACCCTACTTCCGCCCCAAATTTGTAAAATCATTTCTTTAGTAAAACGAGTTTATTTTATTTACTTAAGTAGGATATGAATTTTTAGTTATATTATAATTTGAAGTTTGTAGCTTTGAAGAGATTTGATGTAGTTTGTGAAATAGAAATAGATAGTATATAAATTTTAATTATAAAAAAATTACTCCGTAATTACGAAAAGGGGATTTAACTTTAAAATTGATTCCCTTTCAAAAAATCTTTAAAATTGATTCACACACAAATGTCAACTTTCCAAATTGAAAGAGGAAGTAAGCCATGACGTGGAAGGGTTCTCTGGAGTGTTCTTTGTCCCCAACAAAACTAAACACTCTTTCATAACAGTAAACACTTTTTTTATAACATCTCCTTCTTCGTGTTAATCGTGTATTCGTGTATATATATTACTCCGTATATACTTCGTGATAGTATATATATATGTCGATCGAAATGCGACTCTGAGACTATCCCATTCAGATATAGTTACCCCCCTCCATCCCCAAGTAAAACCAGTGTAAACGAGAAAATGAAAGGAGGAATAGAGCTGGTTTTCATCCCGGCCCCTGGAATGGGCCACCTTCTCTCCGCCATCGAAATGGCCAAGCTCCTCCTTCAGAAACGCCGCCCCGATGATCTCTCTATCTCTGTATTGCTCATGAAACCTCCCTTCGGTTCCAAGCTTAGCTCCTACATCGAATCTCTTCTTTCAGCCAACGCCGAATCGTTATCCGGATTGAAGTTCGTGCTTCTCTCTGCTATGACGGGGACGGATAACACTAAAAGGACCCCCTTTTTCAGCTCCTTAATCGAATCTCACAAGCAAAGCGCGAGTGAAATTGTCCGCGGAATCCAGACCCAGACGGCTTCCGGCGGCACAAGGCTCGCCGGAATTGTTGTAGACATGTTCTGTGTGGGAATGATGGACGTGGCCGACGAGTTTGGGATTCCGGCGTACGTATTCTACACTTCCGGGGCCGGAATGCTCGGACTTCATCTCCATCTTCAGAGTCTCAGAGACGACCATGGAAAAGACGTCACCGAGTTCAAGGAGTCGGACCCAGATCTGGAAATCCCGACTTATTCTAAACCTTTCCCTGTAAAGCTTCTACCAGCTGTTGCGCTGGACAAGAGCGGCGGCGGCGCAGACTCGTTTTCGGATTTTGCAAAGAGAATCCGGAAGGCGAAGGGCATATTGGTAAACACGTTCCTTGAGCTTGAACTGCACGCAATTGAATTTCTGCGCCGAGAAGAAGGGAGGATCCCACCCGTGTACCCAGTGGGACCCGTACTCAACCTGCAAGGCGAAAAGAACGGAGATCCCGGCGAAGAAATCTTGAAATGGCTTAACAGCCAACCGGATTCTTCGGTGGTGTTCCTCTGCTTCGGAAGCGGCGGCAGTTTCCCGGAGCCTCAAGTGAAGGAGATCGCCCACGCGCTCGAGCGCGGCGGCCAGAGGTTCCTGTGGGCCCTGAGGAAGCCGCCGCCACAAGGAGCCTTCTACCCCACCGACCTCAACAACCCGGAGGACGTGCTGCCGGAAGGTTTCTTGGAAAGGACGAAAGACATCGGAAAAGTGATCGGGTGGGCGCCGCAAGCCGCCGTGCTAGCCCACCCCGCCGTGGGGGGCTTCGTGTCGCACTGCGGATGGAATTCGACACTCGAGAGCGTTTGGTTCGGGGTTCCCATGGCGACTTGGCCTATTTACGCAGAGCAGCAGGCGAATGCTTTCCAGTTGGTGACGGATATCGGGATGGGAGTGGATCTTAAGTCGGATTACAAAAAACCAATTGGTTCTGAAAAAGTTCCCGAGACGGTGGAAGCAGAGGTGATAGAAGCCAAAATTAGAAAGCTGATGGACCCTTCAGCTGCTAGGAAGAAGGCAAAAGAACTTAAAGAAAAAAGTAGAGAGGCGGTGGAGGAGGGTGGCTCGTCCTTCAACTTTCTTGAGGCTTTCTTCCATGAAGTCTTTAACAACTACTAACCTGCCTCACTCGCTGTGATACATCCTCTCAAATACATTGTCAGATCGGGGCGTGAAAGATCTTGGGATTCAAGTTTCTCCGTGTTTTTTTTTTCCATTAATTTCCAATAATGTTAAACTTTGTTAGGTTTGTCTATAAAAAGGAAGATACGGATAAGGGAGTCTCAATTTATTTAGAGCCCGTTTGGTAGCACGAAAATCGGCTGTTTTGGCTGTTTCTGCTGAAATTTATGAAGTTCTGGCTGAAGTGGCTGTTTTGGCTGATTCTGTTGATTCTAGAAAAAAATATTTTAAAAATATATTTTATTAATAAAATAAAGAAAAAATTACATGTAAAAATAGCTAAAATGGTCATCTACAGTAACTTCAGCCAATACAGCCAGAAAAGTAACTCCAACCTTACTTTTTCTGCTTATTACACAATTCAGCACGCGAAAGTAAAAATTACGTGTTTGGTGAAAAAGCTGGCTGATAAGCCTGATAAGCCGAAAAAAGGGGTCTCCAAACGGGCTCTTAATCTTTCACACTTTGACTTCATACAAAATAAGGAAAGACATTTGATTTTACTGTATTGTACATTGTTGAGGCACTGTTTGGCACTGTAGAGACACTGTTTGGCACTGTTTTGATGTAGATTTCTTTGCCAAAAAAAGAAATAAGGAAGTGTGAAGTTTATTTTAGACCGTCCCAAAAAGGAAAGTGTAAAGTTTATTAAAAACCGGAGGGAGTAGTTTTAATAGCATTCCAATCGTGTGTTGCACGGGAATGAGTTGAATAAATAATTGCTTATGTGTTACTCCGTATTATTTAGTTGTTACTAGTGTAACACCCGGGGCATGTCCCGGTAGAGTTAATTTGATATGGCTTTGTGAGAGAAATATCAATAAACATTGTTAACTATACATAAGATATAATCAAAAGTTTGGCTATAATTGATTTCTTTTATGAACTAACCACCATCATGGAAGACGGGTAGGGGAGGACCATCTTTTGGAGTATGAATTTGTGGTTATATTGTGGTTTGTGTTAATTGTTGTAATAGTTATTAATTATTTATAGGGCTGATTATATGACGAGGAATAAGAAGAAGATCAGAAGTGTTGGATTGGAAATGAGGGTATGTGGGGTTTACATTATTTTGATAGTCATGTGTGTTATTAGTGTTGTACCATTAGAGTCCCGTTACACGTGAACTAAAGTTCCATTAGAGTCATGTGTGTTATGTGTTACTCCGTATTATTTAGTTGTTATGTGTCTAGTAACACACAATTTTATCATTAATATATTTACTTAATTACTAATAAAAATTATGAAAATGCAAAATTGACAAACTTGCATCGATTATTTTTAATAATATACTCCGTATTCCGTAATATGATTTTGCAAAATTATGAAAATGCAAAATATGACTTTATACAATACTAACGAGTATAAAGTCAGTCTCATGTCAATCTTTCCACTATTTCCCACTAATTAACCTGAGTGTGGGCATGCCCGAAATGCAATAATTCGTGATAGTTTGACTTTCAATATTTATCCACTCTACTTTAACAATAATTTATTAATGCCTAAAAGTTCAAATAGGTCCTTGTACAAATCATGTAAGCTCAATTCAATCTTTGAACTAAAAAAATGTCCTATTCATACCTCGAACCGTCAAAAAAGAGTTCAAATTTCACTTTTTAAATGTTAAACAACCGGTAAAAAAAGATCAATTCGCACACCTAAACTATTAAAAAGTGTCAAAATTGCAATAAATCGAAAATAAAAACACAAACAATAAAAAAATTAAAAAAATGACCGATTGTTTACCCGCAAAAATGAAATTTGAACCATTTTTTGTCGGTTCGGGGTGTGAATTAAACTTTTTTTTAGTTCAGGGACTGAATTGAGATTACACGACCGGTACAAGGGCCCATTTGACCCTTTAGCCTTTATTAATTAATTAAACGTGTACAACGAAGGGTCAACCCAGAGCCGGGAGGCACCACAAATTCCTAGGGCACCATCATTATGTAGGGCACCATTAAGAACTCTCTTAGTTTTAATTATAATAATACAAATTAAAATGCCCGGATAACTACTCCCTCCCTCATCTCTTAAGAGATTGTGCAGATATGTGAAATTGCAACCTTGGCAGATTAATTCATGGGCATTGCCTAAAACTGGGATTCCTGGTTCAGAGCTTTGTTGGGAATGGTCTGCTTGGTATGTACTATGTTTTTGGTGAAATGTAATCTGCAAGATACATGTAGGGCGGTTAAAGAACCAATCTTTTATCGAACTATTCGAGTTCGAGCTCGGTTTCGAACCTAACGAGTCGAGCTTAACGAGCTTTTGAACTCGAACTCAGGCTGAGTTTTAAGTTCGAAAAATTAATCGAGCTGAGCTCGAACATAGTAGTATTCGGCTCGGTTCGAACTCGAGCCTATCGAACACCATAAAATTATAAATACTCCCTCCGTCCCTAATAACTTTGCCAAGTTTGACCGGCACGAGGATTAATAAAGTAAAAACTGTGTGGTTGAGGTTTGTGCAGAGGAGAGAGAATTAACTGGAACCACAAATTCTTTACTTAAATGGGAAAGTGGCAAAGTTAATGGGACATCCAAAAAAGGAAAGTTGGCAAAGTTATAAGGGACGGAGGGAGTATAATTTTATATATATTCAAAATTTAAATATAATTAGTATGATTTTATGAATTTAAATATGATTATTAACGAACCGAATACTTGTTGAATCATTCGAGCACGAGCTATTAACGAGCATGACCTTAAACTTTAAATTCGAGCATATTTATCGAGCTTATCAAGCGGTCGGTTCGAACACCGAACACCTATCGAGCCGAACACGAGCCTCATTTGTAAAGCTCGCCGAGCTTCGAGCTTGAACCCGAACACCACTAATTCCTTATCGAGCCGAATTCGAGCCCTGAGTGTTCGGGCTCAGCTCGGGTCGTTAACAACCCTAGATACATGTTTGATTAAATGCCTTGGACACAATGGCAGAACTAGGGGTGGGCGAGCCGGTGCCGCCGCCGCCGCCCCGTTCACCGGCGGTGGTAGTGTATATATATGTCTCAGCCCCGGTTGGGAGATAATATATATAAACCACGGTGGATTAACTTGTTTCCTCTCCCATTTGTCTTTTAGTTGTGACTCATGTTGCTTGTTTGGACTTTAGACATGATAATTAGTTTTGTTCAATTGAATCATTCTAGGATCTAATGTTGTTTAAATCACTCTTTAACTTTTAATATCTTTTATTTTACATTCTTATTTTTTAATACCCATTAGTTTTCAGTCTTTCTTTCTTCAACTATGAATATGCGGTTTTCTTTTTTCTTTTTTAGTTCAATGACCTCAAAATTACATACTCCCTCCGTCACCAAAAGAAGTTCTCACTTTCCTTATTTGGATGTCCCTAATTTAAGTTCTCATTTCCTTAAATGGAAAGTTATCAACATCAAAACAGTGCAAAACAGTGTTAAACAGTGCCAAACAGTGTCGAAACAGTGTCAAAATAGTAAAACTTACCCCCTGGTAAGTTTACTTACATAAAAGTGTGTGAAATCAAATGAGGAACTTCTTTCGGGGACGGAGGGAGTATATAACATAACTTTTAATTATTTTGAAATACAAAAAAAAAAGAGTTTTTAGTTTTTCTTCCTTGTTTTAATAATGACATATACAGACACTACCATTTAATGTTTAGAATAATTTTCAACATACTTTAACTTATACTACCTCCGTTCTTAAATAAATGCAACACTTTGACTTTTACACTATTCACATGTTCTACTTTGACTACGTTTTATTTATTAATGTAATAATATTATTTTATGAAAAAAATATTGTTAAACTTATCTCATTGTAAATTTTCATAATCTAATTTTTTAAAATTTTTTACTAATACAAAATCATTTATATTAATGGTCAAAGTTGTGTCTCGACAAGTGTGAAATGTTGACTGTTGCATTTATTTAAGAACGGAGGAAGTATATGTTAAGTTTTTCTTTAGTATAATAGCATTTTTATTTGAAACACAATGTATATACATATAGGAAGTGGTTCTAATGAGAACATCTCTTATTGTGAGAAGTAAGAACAAATCATAACCTACCATCTAATTAAATGGACGGCAGTGAGGTGATTGGCACACGATACAAGTATGGACATCTTCGCGTGCTAAAATATCTCAAATAAACGAAAAGTGGGGCGATGATCTAATAAAGGGTCAAGTTGTAATTCACTAATGCACGTGCCTTTTATGCGGCGGCGTTTTCCAATATCTACTCCCTAAAAAATAGCCACAATCAATAAGACCAGGAGAAGTTATTAAACTGACAAAAATAACCACATTTCAATATGGAAAGAAGAAATTTAGTTCTGAATATACAAGGTGGTCGCCAACGGGAATTAAACAAACAAAAAAGTGCACAGAGAAGAGATTATTGTGCAAGTGAACAATGACATCTGAGTTGTGCATCACAAGATTTCTAGATTAGAGATGAACGGATTCTCAAGAATTTCAAATGAAGTTGGTGTAGTGGCATACTGTCATGTAGAATTGCATCTCAGAGGATATTTTGTGATAATAGAAAACCACATGTGAGGTTAATGATTTTGAAGAGTTACAATTTCAATTTTGGCTTCCATATGTGCGACTGTAATTTTTTTGTGCATTAGGAGATGAAGTGATTTTCATTAAGTTTATTGTGCATTTAGAACGGTGTGTTGTGAATCACGAGATTTCCGGCTAAAATCTGAACTGATTTTCAGGAATTTTAAATTAAGTTCTTGTAACGTCATGTAGAATTGCATCTGAAAAGATATTTTGTGAACTTATTGATTTTGAAGAAACAACAATTCTGATTTTGGTTTGCGTGTGCTTAGGGGTGGTTCGGTATGGCATACCGAAAAATTTACGCCATACCGTATACCGTACCGAAATACCGGTATATCAAAATTGCATACCGTTACCGTACCGTAATTTCGGTATACCGAAACTTCGGTATACCGAAGTTTCGGTAACTCAAAAATGAATACCGATGCCGTACCGACTATTCGGTATACCGAAATCCAAGCACGGTATCGGTATACCGAAAGTCTAATGACATGTTACAATAGAATCGCATGTAAATTCTAAAATTATTAACAAAAACCTTGAATAAATACTAATATGAACTCATGTATAACTACTGATTAGCTAAATGCCAATTTATAAACACGAAATATGACATTCAGCTCTATTCAGGAATCAAG